CTAGTTCTTAAGATAGTCAATAACAAGCTCTGAATAGTCGTCAATGATAATGGACTTTCTGTTGAAGTTGAGAGCGAGATTGTGAGCTTTCCAAACAACCCAAGCTTCAACAAGATTGATAGTCAAGGTTCCTATACCATAGGCTTTGAAATCTAAGATCTGGCCAAGGTGGTTTCTGGCCACACAATCAATGGTAAATCTGTCGTTCATGCAAAAAGCATCAAAGTTTATTTTATTTCCATCTACTTTTGGCTTAGTCCATTTGATAGTGATGACCATCTTTTTTGGTTCCATCATTAACGAACCACAATCATAAATTGCAGAAGCTTCCATAAAGAAGCTTTTAGCTTTATCAATGGTAATTGGGGAAGGAATTTCTTTATTATTGAAGGTTTTGTTATTTCGATTTTTCCAAATTTGTCACAACAAGATAGCCATTTTTCTTTTAGGATGATATCATCGAGGGAGGCCCACCATTCAAGAACCAAATTGTAATTCCCTTGTTGAACCGGAATAGAATCTTTCATGATGATCCAAATTTGTTTAGTGAAATGGCAATTTAAAAAAAAAGTCACAACAGTCATCAATATCAACACCTTTTCTCCTAAGAGCTATCTTGGAAGGGAGTTTATTATTAAACAAGATATATAAAAAAAACATTGATCTTCCATGCATCCAGCAGGCCTCATTATATGCTGACTTGATAGAGAATTCACCGTTTGGATTAGGTCTCCAAACTTTACTATCCTTGAGATCATCCTATGGAATGAAAATATTTCTAATTTTTTCCCACGCACTTAACAACACAAGGCTCTTAATCAAATCTTCTTTCTAAGTTTTAGTCTCATGATTGATGACATCACTAACCCAGAGGCCAATATTACCAATATATGCTTTGTTAGCCAAATTGACGAGGGGAACCTCATCTAACCATTGCCAATAATTTTTCCTAATCCCCTCTTCATTAAACTATGGACCCCAACGATGCCTTTCCAAGCCCATGAATGAATCTTTTTTGATGTAGTCTCCCAAAAGTCCTCTCTCTGAAGATATTTTCTACTTACAACTTGAGCCCATAAGTTATATTCTTTGTTCGAAACTTTCCAACCTAATTTTGCAATGCAAACTTCATTCATCCAATCTAAATTCTTGAAGCTCAGCCCACCTCCAACCTCCTTAAACCCACCCCAATTGATGAGATAGAATGGCTTCCTATCTTTATTAAACTGCCATTAAGGAGGTTGGAGGTTGTCGGTTAGTTAGTGGCTGAATAGAAGAGATAATTAATTAATATGATGTATGCCCATAAATAGTATATATTTTTTTATCCAGACGTAATAAGTCATTCAGTTGAAGTACCTACGGACGCAATTAAAATCGGCCCCAGAGCTATAGGTTATAACCAATATATAATAGAAGACTCCTCAGTCCTCTCTGACCCTTCCATTCAAAAAGACTCCRAACTGCGAAGGAACAATACCAGAGGATGGAGTGGATCCACCGYAACGTGAGTTACTGGTTAGTAGAGCACCCGGTGGTGAGAGATTTCGAGTGGAAGGAAGGGGAGACATGGGGCTCTTCACCCAAGTTCACCGCAACAGCGGTCATCACCTACCTCTCCATCGTCGGAATCCTCCACAAAGCCTACCTCTCCACCAAATCAATGACTAAAACCCTACCCACCACATCATCACCACCACCTTTCATCCGCCTCTTAACCGCCGCGCACAGCCTCTTCCTTGTCGTCCTCTCCCTCATAATGGCCCTGGGCTGCATTCTCTCCACCATCGCCCAGAAGCCCAACAACCGCTGGATCTTCTGCTTCCCCTACGGCACCCGACCTCGAGGGCCGGTCTTCTTCTGGTTCTACGTGTTTGGTCTCTCCAAGGTCGTGGAGTTCATGGACACTCTACTCATCATCCTCGGAAAATCAAAACGCAGGCTTACGTTCCTCCATGTCTACCATCACACGATAACCGCACTAATGACTCCGTTGGGGTTCCGGGCGCCGATGTCGCTCATCCCAATAGCCATGGTTACCAACTGCTCGGTGCACGTACTGATGTACACGTATTACATGCTGTGTGCGCTTGGGCGGCGACCGTGGTGGAAGAGACTAGTGACCGATATTCAGATTGTGCAGTTCATCTTGAGCTTTCTGGTTTCGGCGGTGATGCTCTGGTACCATTTTATGGGGGATGGGTGCACTGGGTTCCCGATTTGGTGTATAAGTGCAGTTATCAGTGCTTCCTTTTTGGCTCTCTTCCTTGATTTCCGCACTAAAAACTACTCTTCCGGACGGAGTACTGTGAGAGGGGGGCAGAAGAAAGAAGACAACAAAGGCGAGCAGGAAAAGGAAAACTAATAAGTATCAGACGATGATCGATGATGCTTGGCGACACTACAGCGATAGGAAGGTTTTAATTTGAATAGTAGATTAGTAGTACATATGCATCTTCCAAGGTGCATTTATTGTATTAGCACAATGAAATGGTAAGCGTTGCAATTGAAATTTTCACTTCTTTTTTCTTTATTTTTCTCGAAGGTTGGGAAATCTCAACGTCTGGAATCTTTTCTTCTCTTAATCAAATCGAATTGGCAGATCATGGATATTTCTAGTAGCAGAAAGAATCAACATTAATTAACACAAATTATCATCAAGTTGCCTAACCACTCTCCACCATATGAGTCCCATTTCGCCATTTATTCAGCTTAGTGCCAATGTCCCAGCAAGAAATACACGAAAAGACAAACTAGGATTCACGAGGAGAAAAGTTTATGTTTCTACGGCTAGTGTGTTGCTTAAGCTGATTAGCGGTAGGGTGGTAAATGGGTGGACTGGATTGGGTTGTAAGTGGGTTGAATATCGAATCAACCATATTGATTCGTTGACTCCATATCGGCTCCTCACACCGAACTCACAGCATGTTAGGGCTGGCACATAGGAACATCTATAGTATTATTTATTATTTATTTATTATTCATGAGAAGATGTTTTCAACACACGGTGGGATGTGGGGTTGTGAGGTAGGTGTGACTAACATATCCCAATTCTGATTCATTAACCCACTATGACCCACTATAAGATGCTTGTTACYGGGTCACAGCTCACAAATGAGCGCCTCATAGGTACRGTGCATTGAAAACATCTTCCGTGAATAATAACTTATAAGTATGGGAGATGTTTTCAATGCATGATAGGATGTGCATGTGAGGTTAGTGTGAGGCGCCCAGTAAGTAGATTCGGTCTCACTGTATTGACTCTTATGATTGTTTCCTTCGGCTCTCTAACACTTCTCTCAAATGTCACATGTGGGTCAGGTCAATCCATATATCCAAAAATCAAATCTAAGATGACTGTTCGCACTTTTCATGATTGCCACATGGCACTATTTATCTAAAAAATAATCTTAAGAGTTGATTTGTTCAAAGGTTTTTAAAACCAGACCAGGAAGGAACCATTTCAGGGTCTAGTTCCCGGGTCAAATGGTCTRATCGTTCAGACGAAATAGACAACCCACTTAGACAAAAATAATTAAAAACAAAAAAAGGCCAAAAACCGTTGTCCAAGCCAATAGTTTGATGGTTCGACCACTCAGGTCAGTGGTTCACTAACCAAATCCATGATTTTTAGCCAAAAAGTGGTTTGGGGTGAAATGGACCAGTTCCCAGTTTTTCTAGTTTGACCATTCGGCCTAGCCCAATTTTGAAAACACTGATTTGTTCTCATGACTGCCACATGGCAGATACAAGTTGGGTCAATTTGCATGTCCAAAAATCGTAAAAAAAAATGAAAAAAATACAAAAAAATGTAGAAAATGCAAAATAAAAAAATTGCAGAAATTTTCAGAAAAAAATGACATAAAATGTAGTAATTTTGTAGAAAATGTAGAATTTTTGCAAACAAAAAATGCAAAAATTGCATAAATGAAAAAATAAAGAAAATATAGAAATTACAAAAAAATAGTAGAAAATGCAGTAATTTTTTAAAAAGAAATGCAGAAAATTACAAAAAGAATTACATAAATTCTGCAAAAAAAATCCATCAACAATAATCCCAAAAGGCCAAATTCTTTCTATAAAATTAAAAGAAAAGGAGAAATGAATTTCCTAATTACAACTAGAATATACACTTTTAAACATTTCAACTTGGGGAAATGTTAACAAAGAAAAGGCCTCTCAATCAATAAAAGAATAACTATGAAAACAATTGCCACCACTAATGGATCAAAAGCAAAGGCAATAATGGAGAGATTAGAATCTATAACAACTAAATAAAATGATATTGAGATCGACTAAGAGAGATCAACTTCAACAAGCCAAGTGAACCTTGCAGCCATTTTCTTAAGCATCAAGGTCCCCGATCGAGTGGAAAGCTTCATCCTTTCCATGCTCTGTAAATGCAACCATCATCCTTACAGAAAGATTTTAGAAACCCTAGCACTTATCAACTCTTCCCTACATCTGATCCAAATAAGCCATGGCAAAGAGGGCTAAGGTTAATCAAAACCCTAAACCTGTGGCTTTGGCGGCTATCTTCACTGTGAATGGCAGAAGTGAATGSAAGTAAGGTTAAAACTTTCAACATTCAAACCCTATAGACCCTCATTGATGAACCCTCGATCCAACCCACCCTGACCCTAATGGGTACCCTTGACCCTCTTTCCTTGGCCCTAATGGTTCACTAGACCCATATTGACCCATTGGTAGAATGGGTGGTGGGTATGGGTGGGTTTTAAAGCAGGTGCATTGGGTGGGTCAAATGAGTTGGGGTCAACATTGCCGCCCCTAATTAGTGAGCTTGGGATTAGCAATGTAAAACAAGCTCACATTAGTGGAGTTAAAATTAACAAAAATGTTGAGTTTTTTTTTTTTTCCTCAATATCAAGTAAGATGGGTATAACTAATTTTTTGTTTAAAAAATAAACTAGAAACTTTACATATTAAGTTTAATATAGATAGAAAATGAAGATGTTAGTTGTTTTATGTGCAATTTTATTTGCATTGGTGCAAAAATATAAGAGTGTAAATGAGTTGAGAGCATATTTCGGTTTGTTTTTGTTTCAAGTTTTACTCTATTGCCTTCCTTTGTTTTCAATGCACTTTTTTCCACACTAGTACAAGTGTGGGAGTGCAAATGAGTTGACGCCCAAATTTGGTTTAATTCTATTAGAGGTTTTACTTTGTTTTGCTTGTATGAAGTACAGATGAAATAAGTCAGAACCTAATTATGTAAACAAAGTAAAACCCAAAACAAAAAATGAATCATATAATTTACAATTTTCTTATTTGCATTCCCATACAAATACATTTGTTCTTGTAGAAACGGAATTGCACTAGAAACAACTAAAATCAAGAAAGCAAGCTTCTCTAATAGTTAAAAGGGATATTAACCTCAAGGAATATTGCTCTGTTGATTGTGTTATGGCAAATCTTCATGTTTAGCTTGGACCAATTCGATTATGGATCCTAACACTTTTTTTGTAGAAAATAGGATTTAATTAAGCAAGGAAACAACAACAAGCTGCCACCGAACAACTACAGATGTAAAAACAAAGAGACCTACAAACAACTAAAAAACAAAGAACATAACATTGGATAAAGACATAGCAACTAAGGGCTAGACAAAGCACAACAATCTTCATTCAACGCCTACACAATCCAAGGGGGGAACTCCAGAAAGAAGAAACCTGCAAATTCATGCTCAAGGCCGAAATGTCCAACACATGATAGAATATGTCTAATGTTTTACGCAAGTTGGAATCGAGAATGTAATCAACAATATGACTACAATCACTCTCAATGACAAATTTTGTAAAGTTCAAATTGCTAGATAACTTCAAAGCCTCAATCAATGCAATGGCTTCGGCTTTAGATGCAGAAGAAGCTTGGCAAAGACCAAAAGACAAAAGTTGTGGCTTCTAAAAAGACAGAGTTCTCTTTAGAAAGGCAAACTCTTTGCAAATCCTCCTATGATAAGCTCCTCATTTCCATCACTTACAAGTGAATCAAAGACTGAATTGAGGAAATGTTAGGCTCCGAATCATTAAATACATTGTTTTTGGTTAATTATATCTATATATATATATATATATATATATATTCCATAGGGGTGTCAATTGGACTGGATTTGGTCCAATCCGGTCCAGTCCAATGTGAGTCCATTACAAATGGACCTGGTCCAATCCAGTCCAATGAATATTTTGGACCATTTTGGACCGATCCAGAGACTGTTCAATTTGTTCAAATTCCTTTTAATTTAGATTGATTTAACTCAAACCCGGTCCATTGACAACTATGTTCTTATCTTCTATCAATGGAGCAGATAATGGCTCAATCCAATATGTTATATTGGTCTGTCCAGTCCATCCAAATTCAATATGTCTTATTGATCGGTCCAATCCGTCCAAATGGATTTTGATTTGGACGGAATTCAACCCAAAACCGGTCCATTGACACCCCTAATATTCCATAGAATGATGGCTGATTGCATAAGCATCTTAGCTCTCTTCTTTTCCTTGCCTACCACACAAGTTCAACCAATTATAGAACCAATCATAGAAAGTTTTGTCCCGACTTAGTTTATGTGTCTCATGTTTAGCAAACTCCCAAACCAGATGCTACAAGCTAGGTCGCGGAAGAACAAGGAATGCATGATACTCTCGTCATCTTTTTTAGTAGATTTCAACATAGTTGAGGAGACTAATGTGTCTTTTACAGAGATTATCTCTAACTAGAATAGTGTTTTAATAACATCTCTAGAGAAATGATTTTATTTTTGATTTCACATGAATAGACAAAATAGATAGAGCTCCAAATATTGTTTCTTATTCGCTTATCCCTAACCCTCTTAGAGAGGGAAACTCCTTGAATTTTGCTATATAATAGGCTGATTTAACCGTGAACTTTCCTTGTCTATGTGGGAGTCAGAAGAGCTTAATTAGCTTCCTAGCTACTACCTACTAGAGTTATTTCAAGGATCTTTTGGGAAATTTTTGGGGGAAAATTTTCATGAATAATTTGAGTATTTTGCTAATTCCCTGAAGCAAATATAAGGTCTCTAACTTTCAAAAGTTGTAGACTGTTTGATCTAGGGCCATAAATTCTTTTACCTTCAAGACCTAGAACCCAAGGAGAGCTCTAAACATCAACCTTTTATGCAAATGCCATCAAGAAGAATATCCTTCTAGCTAGAAGATTCTTCCATCCCTAGGATTAGAGCTTATGAAGCATTTGTTGTTAACATACTTGGCTCTCATTACTTTAGAAAGCTAGAGGGTTTAGAAACAATATGACAAGCTAATTTTTCTAGTATAACTTTATTGAAGGTTAAGGGGTCGCGAAAACCCAAGCCACTATCCAAAT